GATTATTTATATTTTTTATTTATTATTATTATTTATTGCTTAGCATTCACAGTTCGCCAAGATAACAACTTGGGAATGATAAACAAACCTGGCAAACCTATTTTTTATAAAACGGTATAAAATCAAATTGAAAATGAAAACATGTTCCAAAACTTGTGGGCCATTTTCTAAAATCGCCAACATTTAATTTTACGATTTGCATTCACGACTAAGAAATAAAACAAAATACATTACTTTGGATTTCTAATGCTAATAAAAAGTAAAACCCAACAATCGATTTGTGCTTATAAGAAGTGAAAGTTTTAACAAAAACATAAATTCTATTCTGATTTTTTTTCTTATACAGAAATGCTGTAGAAAATTAAAATCAAAATAAGATTTTCAGGTTTGGAGAACATAACTTTTTCTTTAAATTGTACATTTCTATAATTTAAATCAATGGTCTATCAATGGATTTGTAGGATTGTATCGCCACAGAAAAAATATAAAAGAAAATATAAAAACTTTTTCTTAAAATTGTACATTTCTACAATTTAAATAGTCTATCAATGGATTTGTAGGCAACTATTAGGAAGCTTTCCTTACGAGCTCACTGTGCTCGTACTTGTATTAAACGAGTAGCTGTGTGTGAGTTTCAAGCGCCTATCAATCTTTAATTTTAAGATAAGAGCCTGAACTTCGGAAGCTTTGGAATATTTGAAGCTGGCTCGGTGTACATATCATATTGATCTTGAGTGTGTGTGCACACACACGCACACAAGCGCACGCACAAGCAATAGTAGTTGCTTAAAAACATTAGTCCAAAATGGAAGTATACGAGTAGTAGTGAGCGCATAAAATGCTAAACAAAAGCATAGTGGCGCTCTAGGCGCTCAGAATATGTCAGCTATGCGGCCACACTTATACACACTCACACTCACACACACACACACACACACACCCGCTCCTTTTGTGTTTGGAGGTAGTAATGTGTGCGTGAAATAATGGAAAACATGCTGCTGCGTTCAAAGGAAAATAGCCTAAAAGCAAAAGCCAATGTTCGGTATAAAATTTTAGCTATACGCGTACGTATGTAAGTCTATATAGGTATGGATGTTTGTGTCTGTGGGTGTGCGGTTGTGGGTGTGTGTGTTTGTGTGTATTGTAGAAGCTGGGAAGTCACTCGGTTGTTTTGAAACATTTGCAAATGAATCCGAGTATGCGGTTGCTGTTTTGCCAGCCTGCCTGTCTGCCTGTCTGACTGACTGACTGACTGCCTGCCTGCCTGCCTGCCTCAAATAATGATAATAATTACAATGACAGGACATTGTAATGATTGTGATTTTGATGACGCAATGAGTGACAGTAAGATTGTATATTTGTGTGGGTGAGTCCTGCGCGAATATAGCAACACATTTAACAGACCTGTTGGCCACCCTTTGGTTCCCCACAGGCTGTCTCTGGCCAGATGTACCTACATACCTACATACATATATACACACATACATACATACGTCGTATGTACGAGTATATTAATTGCTGCTGAGTGGAAGACTGATGCTGATGTTGATGTTGACGTGTGCTGTGGACGACTATATGGGTCATGCATGGGTTTCTGTGGAAAGACTGAATGCCATATCCAAAATGAGGGAAATGAAATGAATTGCTTAGCCGGTTAGTACGCTCTTCATTTCTATTTTTGAGTTTCCTTTCAAGGACAGAACAGATATACCAAACCGCACGAGTACTTTCACAAAGAATTGAAATTCACCAAAATATAGAATTGGTATTAGGAATGGTTTATTTGATTCCCTTTGAATGAACGAAACACCTTAAAAAACACGACAGTAATTTATTTGAATAATAACAGAAATTGTAGTCTCTTTTTACTAATAAACAACAATCGGTTTTACTCTAACAAATTTAACATAAACTTGATTTCAAATTAGAATTGTTAGCGCCTATCTATCTAGACTCAGAGTCTTGAATTTGCTCAAAAATACTGTCAGTTTATATTTGCAAATAGTTTAAATAGTAAATATTTGTAATACAAGTAGTTATATTTGTAAATAGTCTAGAAGAAATGCTTCTTATTTAAAGTTGCTCCTCTAGATCCTTGGACACGTTTCGTCATCAATTTATTTGGATTTTCATACCAACTTCAAAATTAATAAATACATTTTGTACATTTTGTGTAGAAATTTCCGAATTTTAAAATGCTTTCAGTTTGGCAAAAATCAATCAAACCTTGAATCATTTATGGAGCCAATAGACCAGTGGTTGGACACTATGTTGCTATCCTGGGATTGTACTCTTGATTGTATAATTATAGACCTGTTTCCTGTACTTCAGCCATTCTTGATGGCTTTAATTGTTCTGAAATTGTTTCTTATTGGCTTTAGGAACACATTTGGTGCGACAAGTGCGAAAAGCCGAGATTTCCAATAGCTTTTAAACGAATTATCTGTAGTCCAAATGGCATGTTGTAGGTAAATTAAAATTTTAATAGAGCAGACCTAATAAATGATTGTTATGTTGTTTCTTTTTATTACTTTTTAGAACTTTTGCAGTTCGGGGCAGAAGAAGGCCAACTGAACAGTGACTGTATTTAAAAGTCCTTTAAACCGTTTCTTTTGTTTTTAGAATTATATAGAAAGCAAGAAAAATAAACTTTTAAAAATTTGTCAATTGCATATGGGATTCGGGTGCGTTATGAATCAAATAAATGCCATTCGATAGAACTCCTCTAAAATAGAGGAAGAGAAATTGTTTCTTAGGTCAAGCGAACAATAAAAGTTGACTGGCAAAAGATAAATAATTGGAAATTAAGCTCCAACACCATTCCCCCTTTTTTTTTTTATTGAACAACTACAATACGATGTGTCCTGTACATTTGGTAATGAAGTGAAGGTTTTTTTTAGGGATCGCATAATTCTATTAAAAATGAACATTGTTTGAGTTGGAGCAACAGGAAAAGCAATAAGAATAGACAAAGGCGGTGGAGGTGACGGTGCTGCCGGTGTTGGCGGTTGTGGTGTGGGAGGGAGTGGAAAGGGACAGGGGCAGGGGCAGAGGAAAGTGAACCACCGCCACAACCGGCGAGCAATGCGCAGTTAGTTAGTTACATTAGACAAACCAAATGAACGAGAACAGGAACTGTCGGAAATTGTGCCATAACTGTGTCTAGCTGTACTCACACACACACATATATATATATATATATATATGCATGTACATTTGTATGTACATATGTTTGTGTGTGTGTGGGTTCTTGGTGCACACACCCGCTGACGCTGTGTTTGACGGCGCCGTCAAATCAGGAAGCGAGATAAAGTAATTTAATAAACTCATTTCCATATATTTATATTAGAGCAGACACAGCAGACACAGCAGACAGCCCAGACAGAGGAGCAATGGCCGAGGCGGAAAAAGTGCAAGGCAAGCAAAACGCCTCGCTTTTACCAGCAGTTGAACAGAGGCACACACACACACACACACACACACACACACACACACACACACACACACACACACACAGTTGGCCAGTTAGGCGATGTTGCGGAAAAAGCAACACTGAACTGTTATCTATAGCAATTGCTTAATTTAATTACCACAAAGAACATAAGCATCGCAGGGCCATAGTGCGGATGGTTGCTCTGGACCCGGCCTGTCTCAGTCCACCCCCCCCTCCCTACCCATCGCAACCTCCAACCAACTTAGTCCTGGTGGTCGTTTTATCTCGTTGTCTGGAAATTGTCGCTTGACAGACAACAGATTGAGTTGCTGTCAGCAAAAGTGCCGGCTGGCTGACACACGAACACACACACACACACACACACACACACAAATCTGTGTGGGACCCAATGTGGACGGCAACAACAGCAACAGTGGAAGCTCTTATATAAGTATTTTGACAAAACAAATAATTGTACAAATCTATGTAATCGTAAATATATAAAAATATAAATTTGTTTATAGCCCGTTGCCAGAATATGCTGTTTTCATTGCTTTAACCAATTCCCAAACATTATTGCTGCATATAACATCGATAGGGATCTTTACCAGAGGCTTATCAACCGATTTATCGATAGTACATTAACAGAAGTACACTCTATAGAGATTATTAATTATTATGCTACAAAGATAGTCGCAGCCTTAGCTGTCCCGAAGTCCTTCTCTTTGAACAGCAGAAAGAGAGGCAAGTAGGTGAAGTAAAAAAGTAATGGCATTGCCAATATTCAAGTTAAAAAATGATTTCAAATTGAAGTTCGATGGCTAAGGTAGGTAGCACTTCTAATTTGTAATAAGAGCTTATACTTATAATAATATGTGTATGTTTAGCAACTAATGTACATAAATAGATAAAATAAATAAAGTAATATTCCTTCTGCGTTCTGCATTATAATTGATGAGTTTATTAAGAAACTCCCTAAAGCATACATCGATATATCGATTTATCGATACCTCTTGAAATATTTAAAAAAAAATCTAACATTTTACTTTAGCAAATATGAAATGTTTGCATTACTCTTAGTCTATTGAAATAGGAATGACTTTACTTATTGACCAAAATATTGGAGTGTAAGTTAATTAAATAACTAAATGAAGTTGGATTTGTCGAAATTTTTCCATAAGTTATTATTTGAAAGCATTATTTTTATCAAAATTTAAAGTTTTTAGAAAAAGCTGCCCCTAGTATTGTCATTTATTTTATTATTATTATTATTATTAAAAACAGAATACAAATAATATTAATAATAGTAAAAAAAGGAAAAGTGGCTTTACATTTTGAAAGCGAAGAATAATGTTTGTGAAAATATAAATACCAGCTACTGTGTGTCTTTTTGTGTGTATTTCATGAGGCATTTCAGTTAGTAGATTGAGTTTGTGCTGCGTGCTGTTACTTGACATGCGGGCAAGTGAGGTAAGTGGAAATGCTGGAGGCTGGCTATAATGATTGGGGGAGGGTTGTGCGTGGGGAGGGGGGGGAAAGGTTTTTCACAGAGTAATAGAAAACTTACCACCTGTATAGATCTTGTGCGCTGGCTGCCAAGCTCAAATTGCCCAATAACGGCGGGCGTTCCTTGAGGTGATGATGATTCAGCAAATCGGAGGATGAAGCAAGTCTGGGCAGTACAATAAAGTACAAAAAAAAAGATGGTAAGAAGAGGAAGAGGGTAAGTAGAGGGCAAGAAAACAGTAAGCCAAGGACCAATACAATTGATTTCATTAGACAGCGTTGCCTTTGATTGATGGTCACCCAAAATGAAGGCCTACATTCTTACTGCTAAAAAAAGCTCGGTCCCAAACCTCAATTTTGCCTCTAGGCTTAGAGCAAACACGAACCTTAATTGCGGCGCCTTAATGCCATGCTTATCCATGACCTTCTCCAGTTGCCGCACACGTAAACGCGACATGTCCAGCTCGTGTTTCACCTTCCAAAGATGCGTGTCGCAAATGGGATCATTGCAGCGATGCTTCTTTAATATTTCCGTTGCCTCGTACACAGCGCCTCGGAAGGTCAGCGACTTGCCCATCGAAAGAGATATTAGAGCGCAACAGTGGCCACCATCCTTCTTGGCCAGACGCTTCCGTATGTACTTGAAGTAGACGTGCTCAAGTAACAGCAGCAGAGCTGCCAGCAATATGCCAGCCATCAGCAAAAGGAAAGCTGACAAGAACTGCTCGAGGGCCAGCGGATCCGAAGACTTGTGCTCCTGTTTTCCTGGCCGGCAAGTACCCGTCATCCAGTAGCGACGCAGGCGTTCCAGGTCGCCATTGGCTCGAAACTCGAGCAGACGCTTGTTGAACATTTGCACGTATTTGGAGTTTCGGCTGAAGGCCAGCCCGTAACCTGAACGAGTAGGTGAGCAGGTTAGTGGATAGTGCGAAGGGGAAAGGAAATACAAGTATGCGACTTACCCGTCATAGCGTACCAGCTACCCACGGTCATCAGGCGACAGTCTTCGTCCTGTGCCACTAGATAGTCTAAAACGGTGCCGTCATAAATGAACGAATCCAGATTGCCGTTCAGTACGGCAGCGACACCATCTGCGACACTCGTCTTGTTATATCTGGGCAGGAATAAATACTTATATGTGTGAGATAAATTCCTTCTTCTTTCTTTGGCTTACAAAACTTACTGCTTCATGTAGTAGTGCATATCCTTAAAGTACTTTTGTATGGTTGAATCCGTGTGGCTGTAGGGTATTGTACCAAACTTAAAGGACGGCTTGTGAGAATAAGGGTGGACCAAACGACTGTCGTTGAGGCCGCTGAACTCATGGAACTCTTCCCTGGAAAGGATCGCGAGCATGGCAAAAGGCGGTACGGGATTTTGAAGACCTTTACACCTACCTTGTTATCATGAAGGCCGCCAGGTTGGCAGTGTATATGGCAAGAAAGACAACAGCGAACAAAGCCCAGACGTTGGTCATAAACCGGGAGGTGAAGCCGCGTGGAGAGTCGACATGGACGGCCGCTTGGAAGAGCACCGCCCAGACCAGCCAGTAGGTGCGGAACAAGGAGAAGCGATAGGGCGTCACATTGGTGTTTTGCAGATAGAGCTTCATGTCGTAGCCGCTCGGCGAGAGCCACTCGAACAAAAAGATCATGAATGTAGCCGCTTGTATAGCCACAATACCCACCTGTTGGCCAGTCAAGCGTTCAAGGCAGATAGACGGAGATAAAGAGAGAAAATGAAAGCATAAGAGAGGAGTAGAAAACTTACCGGTAATTGGTACTGGATCGATGTGCACTTACCAGCATCCATGAGGCCGTGTCGAAGGGCTCCAGGAAAGCGGTGGGCGATATAATGCCCGTACGCTTCGCCACAACTATGGCAATGCCCGTCTCCATGAAGGGTTCGCTGAAATCAACAACCGCTTCGCGCTCGGTGTTGATCATGAGCGATGTGAGCACCATGTCCGTCTTGCGGTTTACCAAATCGGCAATCAAACCATTCCATTTACCATTCTCAAGTGTACCCCATTTACCATCTTCAACCCGCACCAGCTCGTAGGTGAAGCCGAGCTCCTCGGCAAATTTCTCCAATAAATCTATGCAAAATCCACTACAGCATTGATAGAAGGACTCGTTTCGGTGTGCCTGGCCCACATCGATGTCGGCGGCCATCTCGTGATCGGCCGCCACACGACAGAGCACACCGCGGTCCATGAGACACTTGCCACTGACTGGATCGGCGGGTGAGAGATTGATATAGGGTGCCTCCTCGAGGAATGTGATCTTTAAATGGAATTTCTCGGGCACACCTTGCGGAGGTGCGTGCGAATTACCTGGCCAAGCAATGTCGCGTATGTCCAGTTTTTGCGACTCCCACGATTTCCACACACCGATCTGAGCAAGAGTTTGGTGAATTGTGGTTTGGTGGTGTGGAATTTTTGGTGGATGGTTGGTTGTTTGGTTAGTTGGTAAGTTGGTTGCAAATGGATAGTTGGCATTATTTACAATAGCGAGCGCGTTTGCGTAATGGTTGGTGCATGGTTGGGTGCATTAGAAAAATTTCAAATGTAAATATATTTATAATTGGTCAGAGGGATAGAGAGAGAGAGAGAGAGTGGGTGCGGTAAGAGTGGAAAGCATGCAAAACGCAGTACTTACCTCCTCCCAAACAAGATTCTTGTTGTTGGCACTGGGACGCAGATTCATGATCTTCAGCTCAGCGGACTTCAAGTCCCCGTCGGCGGTGAACTCAATGTTCGGCTTATTCAAATCGCCCTCAATTGACACGTTGCGCAAGTACTTGAAGAAGCTAAACGATGACATTTTGCATAAGCACTAGGTAATACCAAATTGATCTGCAAGCTAATCCCCAAACCCAATCCCCAATCAATGGACACAACACGCCTTTTGACAATCTAGGCGGGGTATCGTAGAAATCAGATAATTTTCCGCTTCTACAAAAAATTAATCCAAGATTAAAAGTAGTTTTTTCAACTGAAGCGGAACTCCTTCTTAGGAGCAGGATTCCTACATGATTCAATAATTTCAAGTCTTGTTCACTTTCCTATATTACCTCATTCTTTGATATATGTAGAAAGTGGAATGTAAAGTCTGGGATACAATTCTGTTCCGCTAGATTGTCAAAATATCTCACAATAGCGTTCATAGCGTTTCCACTTACGTTTCACCATTGTCCCACCGACCACGACCCTCGTCCTCGCAGGACAGAGATTGTGTTGTAAGGCGGCGATCGCGATTGGCCGGATCTGTGAGGTAGGCCTCCACGCCATAGCTATAGATCTTGATTGCGTTCGAGATTTCGTTCATAAGCGCCGCGCTGCTCGTGTCAAAGTGAACGCCCAGCATGCCCACAGGAAACTGGGAATGGGCATCCTTCTTCTCGATCACCGATTGACTGACCACCCACACATAGTTCTCGCCCGTAAGCTTCATTTCTTCGGCGGCGCGTAGAATAGTGATGGCCTCCGTTTGCGTCGCATACAGCAGCATGACGCGTGCCTCGCTATTTACCAGCTCCATAAGATCGCTGGTGCGTGTCACTACAATGCTATTCAGAATTGTGAACTTAAAGTGCTCCTGCATTTCGGCAACGCGCTCGCGCACCGCCTGCACGAAGTCATCGTGGCCAGCGATCTGTGAGGTAACCACACTGAACTGATGCCACTTGTAGCGCTCCAGAATGCTCAGCATGGCTGCGCTTTGGTGCTCAATGCTGGGCGCCAGTTGAAGCTGTAGCGTTGATTGTGAGGCGCGTCGTTCCAGGCCCGAGTTGTCCGCATTCCAAGAAATCACCGGAATGCCCAGGTAGCCAGCCAACTGCAGAAAATATTGGGCCGAGGCGGTGCTGTGCCCGAACTGCTCATTGTTCATCATGTAGAGGATGGCGGAGACGTTGACGCGGAGGAATTCTTTGCAGAGGGTGCTGAGGATGGCTGAAAAACAATAAAAAGATTCATCAGCACAAATGCAAACAAACGAATAGAGCCCACCCATACAATTGGCGCTTAATCAAATGCCATGTCCACCAAATTGACACACATTTGCATTGCCTACCAAAGTCCAGTCCAGTCCACACCATAAACACCCACAGAGGCTGGCTCTGAAAACCCTCAGCCTATGACTGGCGAGCGCCCCACTCGCGAGGCAATTGAACCTCATTTGGGCGCCGGTCAGCGACCGCAGTTGGCGGTCAAACCCAAGCCCAATTCCAATTCCAGTGTCCTGCATGCCAAAGCGTAACTCTCTGTATTTGTATATGTATGTACCTGTATCTGTATCTGTCTCTGTATATATCGATACGTGTACGTGTGCCTTTGCTGCAGATGTGTGCCAATTAATTACTGATTAGCCATGGAGCTGGGCACACCATCTAAACACATGGAAATGTGAAAATGTGCGTGGTATGGGGCCTCGCACATTTTGCTTTATTAGGTTATCAAGTGTAGGGATGGCGGTACATCATTGGGTGGCTAGTTGGGGGATTCTCGACTCTCGAGGGCGGGGGGCGAGGACGGCTTAGGTGTCGAGTAGCTTAGCACCCAACGCAACTCAATTTGCGGTTCGGTGACGGCACAATACGGCGGGATTTGAAGGTATGGATGGGCGCCACTGTGTACGAGGTGTGCGGGATTGTGGAATTGTGGGCTTGTGGGCGTGTGAACCTCCCGCATTTAGTGCACAACACACACATTGTTACGTGCTCCTGATATTGAGCAGTTAAAAACTGTGCTGAGTCAACACCCCCTTGGGTTGGGTGGGGTGGTGTTGTGTTGGCGCAACCATATAGGCCTACCACTGACTAATTGACCTACTTAAAGGTGTAGGGGTGGACGGTGCGGCGTGATGGGAATGGGAATCTGCGCGTGTGTTTGCATTAATAATGTTCAGCTGAAAAGAATTTGTACATGAATGTGGCCGCATTCCTTTGCTATCCTATCCATGCTCAAATTTCAGAGAGCGGCATTTAGTTTTGATGTTAGCCAGAGCTCTGTCGAGGGGAAATTTGGGCACGGAACACGCTCTGCTCTACAGTTTTGTAATCATGCTAATTAATCATTGTATGGGACGTTCAAGTGTTTCAGAGTACCTAAGATATACAGATAGGGTTTATGGTACTTTAAATAAAAAGGGAGCAAATGATTTTTCTCTACTCCACATCTCGTGCATTTGTGGACTATTGAGTATCTGAGAGCATCTGAGTATCTGAGAAGGTATGAAAACAAGTTGGGCATTCTACAAGTAATACCTTTTTTTGAAGCGAATATCCGTAACAACTTTACTAATAATCGAAGTCTTCCCAAACACAATCTTTTATATTAGCTTTTTAGGTGGATCGGTTATACAATGAAGTATGAAACTTGATGCTATCGTTTGTTTTTGATGATATTGTTTGTTTCAAAAGCTTCCCACTGACCTTTATTTCTAGGTAGAAGAGTGTTCAAGTGAGTTGTGTTTGTAGTTATATCAGAAAAGAAAGAGCATGTCGGTTTTAAAATACGCCACGAAAACGTCACTTTCTTCTTAAAAAATAAAGCCTTTGAAGCTACTAACTTGCATTGAATCTATTAATTATTGATTAAATTTTTGTTAACTTATTTATTTATTTAATGTTGTGAGAGTAATATAATTTTATTATTCCAGATAATGCGGAGTTTATTCTTTTGTAGAATCTGGAAACAAAGCGATTCTTTCTACCACATAATCGAAATATTTGTTTTGTATTTCATTTTGGTTTTAGAAAACAGTTTGTTCCAATTTTGTAATTTTAAAAAGTGATAGTCTGTGTTATTATGAATCTTCTTTAATGTCTTTAAATCACATTTTTTTTAAGTTCAACACGCGTATTCGCGGACACTTTAAGAATTTATTTATATGCATTTATATGCTTGGAAAATAATGGATTAAGTTACACCTAAAACTAATCAAACAATCTGCTTTATGGCTTTGATGATCTCTCTGTGGCGATGTTAGAAAATAATTTAACTATTACGAGCAGTTTATTTATAAAATTTAATTAAAATTCGTAGAAATAATCGTGAGTTCTTGAGTTCAGTCTGGCTTTTAACTGTGCGGAAATCTCATATCTCAATACAGTATATATTTAATATATATTATTTTTGTTTTGCTTTCCATATTATTTATTATTAATAATCTATCTTTCAAAGAGCTTCAATTAATATGTTTATCCAATTGAGATAAATTTGATGCTGAAGAATTGTTCACCAATTCACACAGTCATGTATTATTTATAATATTTATTCAACTTAATTCGAAAAAATAAGTGGGTATTTATTAAATGTGAAGCTTAGTAGCTTTCGCCTTTCAAATTCTTCCTGGCAGTGGAAATTGTTTTGCAAAACATTTATCCACTGTTCGAAATACATTAACAGGGGACCCACGTTGGCTGGGGGGGGGGGGGGCATGGGAACATGATTCGGTTAGACAGCGGAGCCTGTCATCAATATTAACACCAATGTAATCGATTAGAAAAGCTCGCCGCGCTCATTTTGTAATCAAGCAGAGCAGAGCTGAGCGATGTGTACGCTTAAATGCGTGCAGGGAGGGGTCGTCCACACAACCAACAGGGCCACCCGCCCATACGCCCACGTCCCACCGCAACCCAAGCCCCCAGCCCCCAGCCCCCAGCCCAGCCCACGCCCCCAGCTCTTGCTCTCTTGTTGTACACACATGCGGATATTCTAGCTGATGTTGTTGCCAATTGCCGGCTGCCATGTAATTTTCATTGCGTGCAGGATGATAAATGCGCGTTCCTTAGTTTACATGGCAACTTTTTCCGGCAATGTGGGAATGGGAATGGGGATGGTGTTGGTGTTGGTGTTGGTAATGGGGATGATGATGATGATGGAGGCGGGTGTTGTTTAGTTTTGTTTTGAATTTTAAAACAATGACCAGCAATAATTTAGAAAGTTTTTGGAGCAGAGTCCGTCTTGTTGTCCATCGTCCGTCGTCCGTCGTCCGCCAACTCATCTGGCATATCGGGCCCTGCTAGGCGAATGACATGTCAAAGTTTGAAGAGGCGGCAAGAGCAGACACTTGAACAAACAAAACTTGCGCAAAATGAGTGACAAAACAGACATGTTGAAGTTTTCCGAACGTGTAACGCTAGCTGGAGGCATTGCTTTATGCTTGTGGCATGGGGCATGCCGCATAGAGCTGAGTTTGCATTGGCATAGGAGCTGGGGTTAGAATTGGTATTGGGTTGAAGTTGGGGTTGGGGTTGGGACTGAGGTTTGGCATTCGCCTGCCAATGCTGAAATCTCATCAAAAAGTTTAATTAACTTTTTCATCACTTTACTTCTGCTCTTTGCATTTCGCATTTGCTGCCACGGCTGCCAGCGGTGCTGCTAATTTTTCCAACTGTCTTGCAGCAGCAATGGCAGAAGCAGCAACATCACCAACAGCAACACTGGTCGCATTCAATTACCAATACCACCTCATATACCACAAGAGTGACAATGCCCAGAGCCGGCTGAGGTAGATGGATGGATGGTTGGATGGCTGAATGGCTGGATGCTTGGTTGGATGATATAGAGACCTAAGCCGACTAAATATGTAGGCTCAAACCGATGCCGCCTCTAAATGATGGATAGAGTGTTAAAGTGAACGAATGATGTTCTGTGGGGCTATGGATATGGGCATGGGCATGGGCATGGGCAGACGATGGCAGTGTCAGGGAATATGCGACACAGTGTTTGCTCCCAGTTGGGGCGGGCATTTAATTGACAATAGAAAATCACTTAATAAAATTATGCCCGACCGAAAAATGGCAAGACCGTTGCGTGTCGGCGCATTTCAAAAGGCTTAGGGCTTAGGACGCATGTCCTTGGTCCTCGCCACCGCCCACTCCACCAACCCCACCAAGTGGGGCAGAGAGAAAAGGTCCTACCAACTGACAACCTTATGAATGCTGCCTTATTTGTTTTGGCAGCAACACCCATGCCCAAGCATCCCAAAAAGCGCCCAAAATCGTATCGCCCGTGACCCCACCCACCAGCTCATGGCATTAAAATTTGGAGTTGGCAAAATTTAATTTACAGCTGCGTAAATTTTAGTTTAATTGCCAGGCGAGAGAAATGTTTGATTTCTGACTTTGTTTCTGCCAACGCCCATGGGCGTTGAAACCCAAAGCCAGCCAGCCTGCCAAGTCCCTTTATACATACATAGTATGCATATATATATACATATATATATATATACATACATATATATATATATACAAGGTGTGTTCCAAAGTAAAGAGGACTTTAAAAAAAAAACAGAACAAATGGTTTTTTTTGCAAAATCAATTTATTTTATTCAAAATAGTCTCCTTTTGCTTCAATATAGCTTTTTGCACGATCCAAAAGCATGCATTTTTCCGAAAAGGTAGAAGTCGCACGGTGCCATATCAGGTATATACGGCGAGTGGTTAATGGTTCAAATAATCGGTCACAATCGGTCCTTCGAATGTTGGATTCTGAGCAATTTTTGGTCGTCAGTCAATTTGTGCGGAACAAACCGTGCACACACCTTTCGTAAGCCCAAATGTTCGGTCAAAATGCGATAAATCGATGTTTTGGAGATGTTCAATTCCATTTCCATCAATTTCAATGACGATTTCGGCTGATTTTTGATGAATTGACGCACAGTTTCGATGGTATTTTCGATGATCACGAATTTTGATTGGCCACTTTGAAAACGTTGAAACCACTCGTGCACTCTGCTACGGGATAGGCAATCATCGCCATAAGCTTGTTCCACGTTTCGGTAAAAGTTTTACCAATTTTGAAACAAAATTTAGTGTTGGCTCTTTGTTCGAAGCTCATTTTCGCACCGATAACACAAACATCGATGAAATGCCATGCAATTCTCACTGGACAATCGATAAAGATAGCAGATTCTAAC